CACACTTTAAGGCGGCGGCCTTCGAGGGTAGAGCACCTCTCAGGAGTGGGGCTGGGGGTGGCCGTCTGGGGACCCAGCCAGGTGGGGAGAACGGTCGCCACCATCTGCAGGCCGTGCCCCTCCCCGCCGCCGCCAGCGCGCCCTGCAGAGCCCGCGCGAGCTGTCTGCGCGGGAGAGAGCTGCCCGCCCCCGAGCGCTCATGGGAGGAGGCGGCTCGGGCGCACTTCTCTTCCTGTCCACAGTGTGTAAGCTTAGGGGTTCTAAGCCTGTTAACGCCCTGGCCCCCAGCGCGTCCCAAGATTGCACACTTCGGATCAGACTTGCGGATGATACTCCGCAAACAGGTTTTGCCGAAGCAGTAGGGGGGGCAAACGACAGCCCCGGGAACAAAGACGCCCACGGCGTAGAGGCCGTACGGAAGCTCCCTGGAGCCCGCGGCCGCTCGGGCTGGATGCCGGCTGCTGGGACCCCGAGCGAACTGGTGGGATCGGATAGGGACTCCGGGCGGTCGGGTCGCAGCCAGGGCGGGAGCCCTTCCCGACATGCACCAGGAGGCGGCGTTGGTGGTGGCGGCGGCCGCCCCGAACCCAGGCTCCCTTCCCCGCCTTTTGTGCTGTGCCTTAGAGTTGGCCTCTGAGTCTTGAAAGAACCAGTGATCTTGGGGTGCTTTCGGGACGGCAAAGTCCTTTTCACACATTCTCTTTGATTCTCACAACGGCTTTTTTACCCCCCCGCCCCCGCCAAGGGCCTTCTGACAGCAGCGAAGTAATTATTTTTCTCCCAATTTGACATGGAATCAGAGGAGCCCCATACCTTGTCATTCCCAAGAAACTTCACACCTAATGCTTACGCGGGCACTCAACAGGCGTTGCTTCCTTTTTTGCAGTTACACTAAGGGCTGCTACCACGTAGAGCTTAGAGACCGGACAGCATGATGTCAAGGAAAGGGGTAGAGGTCTTCCACCAAGGGTGTATTCGCTGAGCATAAGCAAAATTGGCCTACATGAGTGAATCGCAATATATGGAAAACCAGAGATGTTGACTTACATTTGTGGGATTAATCTTTGAATATTGTATGCCCAGCACTGGGCTAACTAGTTAGTTGTGAACAAGGCACTCCTGTTAAAAGTGTACTTTGGGCCTATTTTTGGCTATTAAGTCTGAACAGAGTGTAGCCATAGTAAAGAAGAAATTAGAAACAATCGTGAAACAGCTTTGTGTGGAAAAGAACAGGATGAATTCTCTCTCTTTTTTTTTTAAGAATTATTTATTTAACTTTATTTGTTTTGATTTCATCATAGAATGGTAGAGCAAGAGAGAGAGAGAGAGAAAGGGAAAGTGAGAAAGCAAGCCATCAGGTCTGGGACTTGAACTGTATGTGGGAGTCCTGTGCCCTTAACCACTGCACCACCTGCCAACCCTAGAACAGGGTGAATTCTGCCTGCATCTGGTTCTACTTGTACCTGTCCAGTGGACAAGGGAGTCTGTAAAAAATCATGGGTGATAGATGAATGGAAGAATTATTCCCAGTAAATGCCATTTCGCTTTTTTTTAATTAATGGACTTATTTTTTTTAAACTATTGTAAGTTTAAAAAACAAAACAAAAAACAGGTAGAACAGAGGTTCTGTATACTCTACCTCCCCCCACCACAGTGTCCCCTATTACTGATATCTTATAGTAGAGCACTTTTCTCACCATGTTTGTTTAATAGGGAGATTTTTGTTATAAGGTGCCTGCCCTCACCAGAGAGACAAAAAGTGAGAAATCACCTTTTGGGGGGGTGGCCACACTGCAATTCCTTCTCCATTCTCTTCCTCGGATTTGGGGCCCTCGTGCACACGCACCTAGCATGAGGTTTAAGCTGCAAGGTCTGGGACTTAATCCCCAGTTGATTACGTGGGAGTCCAGCAACATAACCATTATACTGTCTGCTGGTCCCACATGTTTGTTATTAATACATCGATGTAAATATGTTATTACAGATTGAGCATCCCTACTCTGAAAATCCTAAATGCTCCAAAATCTGGAACTTTTTGAGTGTTGACATGGTGCCACAAGTGGAAATTTCCACACCTGGCCTCACGTGATGAGTTGCAGTCAAAACTCAGGCACACAACAAACACAACACACACACATGTATTTTCAGTATTCCCCAAGGGAAAGAAGATCCTCCCAGGCAAACAACCATGAATGCCCACTAGGATGGTTGAGACAGTGTCACCTTTGCTTAGCAATGGTTCAGTGTACACTTTGATTCATGCTCAAATTTATTTAAAATACTGTATTAATTACCTTTTGGCTATGTATATAAGATGCATATGAAACAAATTTCATATATAGACCTGGGTCCCATCCCCATGATATCTCATCATGTCTATATAAATATTCCAAAATCTAAAAAAAAAAAAAAATCTGAAATGTTTATACAAACATTTTGGATAAGGGGTGCTAAGTATTACTAAAGTCTGACTTTCTTCAGATTTTCTAGTGCTTTTTGCAGCTCCAGGATCTTATCCAGGGTACAGCATTACATTTAGATATATGTCACCTTAGGTTCCTTTGGGCTGTCACAGTTTCTCAGACTTCCTTGTTTTTGAATGACTGATAGTCTTCAGGTATGCTGGTCGTGCATTTCATAGGCTGTCTTGTTGGAATTTGATGTTTTCGTCATGGTTCAACTGAGGTTATATGTTTGGGTGGAAAGATCATAGAAGTAAGGCATCCATTTCATCACACCTTCTTAAGGGTACTTAATATAGCGTCAGGATTTATCACTGTCATCATCATTTATCACTACTAATGTTGACATTGATCACCTGACTGAGGTAGTGTTTGTTAGGTTTCTTCATTGTCAAGTTAACTCTTTTTCCTCCTTTTGGACACTGGGCTTTTTGGGAGAAAGTCAGTATATGTAGCTTATTCCTAAAGAGTAGGGAGTTATGCTCTCCCTACTTTAGGGTAAAGTATCTTACATGAATTGAATTTCTTCTGTCTTGCAGATTTATCTGTTCCCCCCCCCCTTTTTTTTTTTTTTGAGAGATTTTCACTGTAGGGCGCGTGCGCTCGCCAGACAGACAGAGAGAGACATAGAGACAGAAAGTGAGAAATCACCCCCCAGGGGGGATGGTCACGCCGCAATCCCTTCTCCTCCATTCTCCTCTCGGGATCTTGGCCACGCACGCACACGCGTCCGGCGTGAGTTTTAAGCCACCGGGTCTGGGCCACGAACCGCGGTCGACTACGTGAGAGCCCAGCGACATAGCCATTACGCTAACTCCTGGTTCCCGCCCCCCCCCTTTTTTTTTTGAGAGATTTTCACTGTAGGGCGCGTGCGCTCGCCAGACAGACAGAGAGAGACATAGAGACAGAAAGTGAGAAATCACCCCCCAGGGGGGATGGTCACGCCGCAATCCCTTCTCCTCCATTCTCCTCTCGGGATCTTGGCCACGCACGCACACGCGTCCGGCGTGAGTTTTAAGCCACTGGGTCCGAGACTCGAACCATGGTTGACTACATGGGAGTCCAGCAACATAGCCATTATGCTAACTGCTGGTCCCTGTTCCCCCCGTTTATTAACTTATCTAACTATTTATATGCCTATGCACTCTTAGATATATATTTTATGTATTGAATTATAATTCAACAATACTTGTTCTGTTACTCAAATCATTCAAAGCTTTAGATAGGGTATTTTCTTCTTTTTTTATTTTTTTAAGAATTAGTTTATTTAACTTTATTTATTTATTTTAATTTGACCAGAGAGGGACAGAGCAAGAAAGAGAGAAAAGGAAAGTGAGAAAGCAAGCCACCAAGTCCAGGACTTGAACTGCGGTCAGCCATGTGGGAGTCCATTGCCCTTAACCACCACACCACCTGCTGTCCTCCCGATAGGCTATTTTCAATGTATTTTTGTTGTCAAGGGGCTGAAATAAAAGTTATGCAACAGTGAGTAGTGCTTAATTCTCTCTTACATTAAGGAATAAGACATTTCTAAAAATTTTAAGACATTTAATACAACTTACTTATCGTATGTACTTATCCAGAATACAACTAAAGAAAAAAATCTAAATTTTAGCAATGGATTCACAGTTAAACTATTCCTTTTATTGACTCATCAAGAGCATTCTTGAGGCCAGCAGGTAGAGTAGTGACTAAGGCACTGGACTCCCACGTGACTGACTGCAGTTCAACTCCCAGACCTGGTAGCTTGAAACTCACACTGGGCACATGTGCATGTGTACTCAAAATCCCAGGAGGAAGGTGGAGGAGAAGG